GTGGACCCCTGTCTACTTTTTCAGACTTAGGTGAGAGGGCCCCGGATTTCCAGGGGTGCTCTTCTCGGTGCCGGCCCAGTCCCCACTGACAAAAACTTCCCCTTGGCCTGTTCTTCCCTCCAAAACTCAGAGCTCTTTGGGGCCAGGGTCTCCGCAGAGTAGAAGTCAGGTCTTACTATCTTGCCCTGCTACCCGGCCACCCAGCCCTACCCCGGCAGATGACGCATAGCTCAGCTCTTAGGAGGGGCCACGTGTTACTGGAAGCGTAGAAGCATTAACAGAGGGGCGCAACCCATTAGCTGCATTAACTGGCTCATTGTTTTACGGAGAACTGATGAACAAGCAAAAAATAATTACCGCTAAGAAATGATTCAGTTGTTGTTGGCTCAGGACAATATTTGAACTTGATCTGCTGATCAATGTAACATTAACTCAGGTTTCTCCATCCCATGGTACAGGGGTGGTATAAATAAGACCCCAACGGGAACAAAGAACCCGTGGCAGGAGCAAGCTCCTTGGGCAGGTAAGTTACCCTTGTCCTCCTGGGGACAGGGGGCTCTCGGGAGCGGGTGTTTCCCAGCCTCGTTCCCTGCTGCTGGTGGCAGGTGCCTGAGGGAAGGTGGTGGGTGATGTGTGCGTGCCTTCTGGAGCCTCCTCCATCTCCGGTTCTCCCCACCTGCAGCCCCTATCTCCCAGCCCTTCAGCCACACGGCCCTCCCGTCCCTCTCCTGCCTCAGCTGTGTGAACCAGAGGCCGGGGGGGCGGGGGCTGAGGGCCAGCAAACAGTGTGGTGTGACAGTGGGAGGTAGGAGCGTGGTGGGGGCAGGGGTACACTGAGGAAGTGGGGTGGGCTGCTCAGGCCCAAGAGTCTGGTTGGGAAGAACCAGGGTTAATGGGTTTTCTTGAAATGGGTCAACCCGCAGCATTTGAACTCCCTCCCCTTGGAGCGCAGGGGAAGCCGGGGCGGAAGATGAGGGCTTTTGCTCTGGAAGTGGCCCTAGCGTGGCGTAGCTGAGCGGGCTGTCACAGCCACCACGGCAAAAGCCTAGGGTGGGGGCCTTGAACAGCAGACGCTGATTTTCTCATAGCTCTGGGGGGCTCCAAGTTCAAAGTCAGGGTGCCAGCATGCTTGGGTTCTCACGAGGACCCAGGCTGAGGTAGAGACGGCCTGTAGACAGCCACCTCTTCCTTGTGGGGGCTCAGGAAGGGGAGCAGGGCCTTGCGCAAGCCTCTGGTTGGGGGGTAATGCGTGCTCATATACAGGGAGGCTTGCGACCTCAGCCACCCCAATCGCCTCCCCGAGGTTCTGCCTCGGAATACGTTCGGGGCTGGGTTTGCAATGGGATTTATGAAAAACGCAAACCCTCGTCCCCAGCGGCTGACGGTTCAGTCCCCATGCCCGGGCACGAGGGGTGGCATTGGTGCCAGAGGAGAGGCGCGTGCCCAGGGCTGCACCAGGTCCTGCGGGAAGGCAGGGCGGGGGCAGCACTGGAGCACCCACCCAGGTGGCGCTGAGGCTTCTCCCAGCGGGTGCTGCCCTCTGCGGCAAGGCCTGCTTTGCCTCGGTCAGTCACGATGGAGACTGAGGGCTTGGGGCCTTGACAGTGGAGAAGGGACAGGAGCTGGGGGCCTGAGAGGCCGAAGGAGGGTGCCCCGGGTGCCCCGAGAGACCTTCACCAGGCCTTTGGTTCAGCTTGCGTCCGAGCCACCTCAGCACCCCTGTGGACTTGATTTCAGACGCGGTCAGGCCTGCTCCTGGGCTTTATGCTGTGCGTGAGTACTTTGATAAGACTGATATTTTCATGTAAAGGTGTTGGGTTTCTAAGATCGTCAGAAACACCAAAAGCTGGCATTCTTGACCCGACACGCCCACTGGTCAGGGTGGCTGCGTGTGAGCAGCAGCTGTCCCCGCGGGCCCTGGCTTATCTCTCATTGGCACAGCCCCCAGCTCTCCTGCTTGTACCACACTCGCTGGCTCTACAGCAAGTGTGTCTTTTCGGTCAGATCTCTGTAGGCACTAGAATCTGCAATCCCCGCTTTGTCTCTCTGCTTTGTATCTTCCTTTTCACACTATAAGGATGTTGTCATAAACCCTGTAGAAAATAAAAGGAAAAAAAGAGGGGAAGGGCCTCCCTGAGGGTGAAAGGGGTTGAGTCTCAGCACTATGAAGCCACCAGCAGCCACTACAACACAGTCTGATCCCCGGCCAGGGAGTGACCCACAGGGCGCAGCAGACAACGCTCCTGTCTCTCCTGCTGCTCCCCTCAACAGTGTATGTCAGTCAATCTGCCCCCCACTGTGTCTCTGGTGAGTCCTCTCATCCCCCATACCTCAGGCCTGCACCCCAGCTCTTGTATGCATAAATAAACAAATATTTTAAAAGGGGGGTTGCCCCAATGTAGAGTGGTGGTCAATGTCACTAGAATATCACAGTGACAATGAATTCTATGGCCAGGATAGGGAAGCGACTTGTCCAAGGACTTATTTGTAGCACAAAAGGCAGAAATGGATCTGCCGTTATCAGGTTCCTTCTCTGACGTCACGCTCCAAAGGCCTTAGCCTTTCTTCACTAGTCTTAGCGAGCACCCACCAATCCAGGACCCAACAGTACCAGATTTTAAAGGGCCCTTGTTCAATCCCTCAGCTTTGAGAACGTGCTCCATGGGAAGTTCCTCCCCACCCCCTTCCAATAACAGCTCACTGTTGCAGAAATGTCTCCTGGGAAGATGCCGCTGGTCCTCATCCTCGGTGCCCTCATTAGCAGCATCACCTGTGAGTCACAAAGCATCAAATGGGATGAGCCCCACCACCCATGGAGACGGACACCTCGCAGCCAGGATGTGAAAGTTGACCATGAGGTGTTTGCCCAAAAATTAGTGAAGACTCTGATAGTTGAGAATCCCAACGAGAATGTTATCTTCTCCCCCATGAGCATCTCCACCTCACTGGCCATGATGTCCGAGGGGACCAGCTCCTGGACACTCGTCAACCTGCTGCAAGTCCTAGGCTTTCACCTCAGCGAGCATGAAGCGAGAGACGTGCACCATTCCTTCATGGTTTTCATCCAGAGGCTGCACCAGCTGGAAAGGGAGGCTATTTTGAGGCACAAGGACTTTCTCTTTATCAACCACCACAGGAGGATTCACCAGAAGTTCCTGGAGGAGATTTGGAAGATCTATAAGGTGGAAGTGCAGATGATCAACTTTAGAGATAAAGAAACAGCCAAGAAGGAAATTGACCACACTGTGGCTCAAAAAGCCCAGGACAGACACTGTGAACTGATTACCATGCTGGACCCTGAAACCTTCTTGTTGCTAGTAAACTACATTTCCATGAAAGGTAAGGTTTCCTGAGGGCTTGGGTCCCCATTTCAGGCATTCTTTGTCCCGGTGTTTCCTAAAAAGAAGTATATATATATATATGTATATACTATATATACGTATATGTATATACTATATATACGTATATGTGTATATATAATTTATATATATATAACATAACATAACATAACATATCATATCATATCATATCATATCATATCATATCATATCATATCATATATAATTACATCCATTTTCCTAATGACCAGGACCCACCCCTTACTCAATTTAATTTCATTGCCTTGTCTAGCATTTAAAAATTGTTCTCTTCCCAATTTTTGCAATCAGGTTGCTCCCTAACTTAAGCCATTTTGAAGGAAAATGCGTAGCACTTGCAGCTAGAAAGCAGAAGGAGCCCTTTGCAGTGACATGAGCATCCGCACATCCAATGCGTTTGTAAGGTCAGAGCAATGTGACCTGAGACGAGAATGGATTCAGGGTCACACACCAGAGGCACAAAGACCACACTCAATTCCTGGCTGTGACACTATCTGTTTCTTTGTGGGCTCCACGTTGCTGCTGCAGGGGGCCCCTTCTCCTTGGGCTGATGGCCTCTGGGACCCCAAAGTCATGGGTAATGGTGCATTTCTCATGAGCTACTCTTGACTCTTTCCTTCCTGATCACCCCAGGCATTTGGCAAGTAGCCTTTGACAGCAGACTCACTCACCAGGAGACGTTCTTCGTGAATGAGCACCAGAAAGTGCAGGTGGACATGATGAGGAAGACAGAACAAATGCTCTACAGCCGATGGGACGACCTGCACGCCACGGTGGTGGAGCTGACTTACACAGAGGACCTGGCCGTTGTGCTGGTGCTTCCGGATGATGGGCACTTCCACTCCGTCCTGAGGAAGATGGATCTGAGGACAGACAGGACTCGTTACGCCAAGGACATGAGGTACGGACGGAGGAATATTCCAGATTCCCACTGCCATTTTGTTCAGACCTCATTTTCTCTATGCAAGAGTCTTATTGGGGGGGAATTGAATCCCTGGTTATTCGTGAGGATATCTGTAGGAAATTAAGCAGTCAGATCTGGGGGATGGTGGCCTGGAACCCAGGAGCAGTCAGAAGTGCCTTGAACTGTCTTAATGACACCCGTTTTGGTTACATGTCAAGTATCAGAAAGCCACTTCATGTACGCTCTCGAGGGTAAAGAAAGACAGGTATTGGAAAGACATGCGGGTGTTTCAGGAGCCCAAGGGGATGAGTGCAGCCAGTTCTTCCCAGGGACTGGAACAGGGGCAGCAATGTCATCGGGAAGGCCATCTTTCTGCCGGTCACTGCTCTTTGTTCCTAACCCCATCAGCTTAGTGAATCATCTTTCACCACTTTCACACCTGGGTCACTCACCTGCTCTATGCAGACTCTGCTAGGAGATGCAGAAATAATGGTCAGGAAAACCTGTCTCTGCAAATGTGGGAAATTCAGTATGGTGGGAGAAGCAGAAAGCAAAAACAAGTGGATAACTTCAAGAGCCTACAGAGAAAATGAGTAAGGTTAAATAATAAAGAATTCAGTGGTGGAGCATTAGTTAGGGATCCTAATGAGAGGAACCCTAAATAGGTCTGAGGGCTGGGGCAGGAGAAATCAAGCCCAGAGCTTTGTGCGCAGCTGTGGCTCCTCCTTTCCCCACTGTGCCTCTCCAGGCTGCGTCTAACATCAGCCAGTTCCAGCCACATGCTCTTGGAGAGAGAACTGAATTGACCAGCTTAGGTGTGGCATCCACAAGGTTCAGTCAAAAGTGGATAAATCACAGCATGGTTTCCAATGGCAAGCTGAACTTTGTGGGGGCTGATGGGCGAGGGTGGGAGACTTCAGGCTTATCTATCTACCTACCAACCTACCTACCTACCTCTAGCAATGGCACAGGGTTTTCCTCCCCTGTGAAAGCTCCCCCAGGCAAGATGATCTCATGCCCCAGAGGTCCTTTACTACATTTAATCCCCGACCGACATAACCCTCTGCAGTTAGACAGGGTTGCTGAATCAGGTTTGGACTCATCGTCTGGCCTGATTCTCCTCTTCTTGCCTTGGAGACAGAGTCTGCAAAGGGAATACTTGGAGTAGTAAGGCCTATTTGAGCAAATAGTTTATTTGGAAATTCAAAATTGCAGCTCAAGTACCAACACTTTTAATCTCTGCTCAAGCAAGCACTCAGCTCGGAGAGGAGTCCTCAGAATCTCAGTGCGATGCTTCCCCTCAACCATGGCAAAGGGCGTCTCTCAGCTCCCTCTTGGTTTTCATTCTTAACAGAATGGTGGAGTTAATTTTGCCCAAGTTCAACATCTTCTCCAAGATAGACCTTAAAAAAGTGCTTCCCAAACTGGGCATCAGAGACATGGTTACTACAGAAGCAAACTTCTCAGGCATCACAGAAGAGGTTTTCCCAGCTATTATTGAGGTGAGTGGGCATTTTCTAGAGTCTGTTCTCTCTTACACCAGTCCCCAGAGATGAATAATCCATTGAAATCCAAAGCAGCAGTTATAACTCTTATCTACCCTGGTCCGTTGGCTCTGGAGGTTCTTAGTCATTCCTTCCTTCATTTATTTATTCACTCCCTCATTCATTCATTCAAAAGTAATTGCCTGAAGCACTCTCGGGGGCACGGTCATGCAGGGGCTGAAGTCTCCATTTCACAGATGCTCATGACTTTGATGAGCACAGACAGTGAACGCGCCACCAAGCAGAAGTCCCATCAACCTGAGGGGCTGGGGAAGAAAAGAACGCAGGGAAACTGGGAAGACCCCGGGCGCTGCGGGTGGCCTTGAGATGGGCTGGCTGGGAATTCCGGGCTGCTCAGTCTCATGTAGGCGGAATGAAAGGAAGGAGAGGGCCAGGGAGCCCAGCTGTGGGGCGCAAGGTCCAGGAGATGAAGACACGTGTCTCCTGTGAGCCTGACATTTTTGAGCAACCCCAAGAAGACCCACGCAGCTCAAGTCCTGGGTGGGGCAGAATGTGGAGACGGGGAGCTGAAGGTTTGCTTGGACAAGCAGGGCCTGGCGTGCTGAGCTCCACACACCTATCAGACACCCAGCTGTCACGCGCAGTGAGAGGGGGTTCACCTATCTCCGTGGGCGCAGGGACTCCCACAGGTCACTGAGAGGCTTCCGGCCACCCTGTAACCCTCTGTCCAAGACAAAAGGAGCCATCTTCATCCCTTGTCACATCCAGCAGGTGACAGGTTACGAAGCACTTTCTCAGGGTTTCTCTCCCCTAACTCTCCCGATGACCTGGGGGGGTGGGCTCGGGTCTGCTCACTCATTGAGGGGTGACACAGCTTTTGGTCAGGGACACAGATGGGACCCCAAGGCTGGGGTGCCCTGGGGTGCAGCACTTCCAGTGGCCCAGGGATATTAGCATCCCTGGTGTGTTCACATCCAACAGAACCCAGCGAGGGCATGTCCAATGCTGGGTGCTGGGCTGGGCCAGGCTTGGAGAGGCCGAGACCCCTCCCCCACCCCACAGCAGTCCCAGCCCCACTGCCATGTTTGCCACAGAGCCTGGGGCACACATGGACATTCTGAAATGAATCCCACCCTCCTCACTTCTCCTTTCACCACATCTTCCTGCAAGGGCTTGAGAGGGTCGCGTCTCAGTAATTCCAAGGGTCGCTTGCAAAGCTTTTAACCCATCAGCATTCCCGTGTGTTCCAGTCCCCCTTTCCTCCCTTTCAAACACCCCAACTGCCAGCTGCCAGCCAGGTTCTGAGGTCACCGTCTCCTCAAGTGTTAACTCCTCTCAGTCCTTGAATGGAGGAGCTCCCTGAAATAAAACAGGTGTAAGGAGGTGGGGGCCCAGGGGGACTTCTGAAGTGGGAGCCAGGCTTCCCCCACCTGCCATGGCGGTGGAGGGTGCTGCCTCCTGATCTAGGCCGCGGGCCCAGGCCTCGGGCACACGGCCCTGGCTTGCTCTGGGGGCAGCCCGCTGAGTTCACACCTAGAGCTGAGACAGGATCCTTGTCTGCTCAGGCCATGCACCAAGCCAGGATGGAAGTGAACGAGAAAGGCATGAGAATGGCCACCGATTGTGCCATGGACATGGCAGAGGACCGCCTTCTGCACCAGTCAGCCGAGCCCCTGCGCCTGAAATTCAACAAGCCCTTCCTCATGTTTGTGGTGGATAACAAGACGCAGACAGAGCTCGTTGTGGCCCGAGTCGTAAATCCCAGAGCTGAGTAGAGGAGCCTGACTACCTGGGAAGGAAGTGAATAAAATTCACTACAGTGAAGCAAGAAACCCCGAGGCTGGGATGTGTCTTCTTCTGGGGCAGGGTGGGGTGAAAGGGGGCTGGGGGCCTGCTGGGCATCTTCTGGCAGGTCTGACCCAGTGGGGTTGGCAGATGCAGGGTGCCAGCTGGCAGGTTCCGTCTGTGCAGCCTCACTGGTCTTGCTTCCACCTGGCGGCAGCCAGCACCCTTCCCACTCTGCACAGAGGAGCCCACGCCCCCCGCCCCAACCTGGCAAGGGGCTGTGTGGACAGGAGGAGGCTCCCACAGAGAGGAGGGAGGGAAAAGGAAGTGTCAGCACCCGCAAACACCTCAGTGGGTTTCCATGTGTTCACCTAGCTCCACGGGGAAATGGGGAGGCAAAGGACCCCAGATATGTTGACAGCACCTTCTCTATCCCACACCCCGATCTTGCCTGACTTTCACAGCTCCTGTGTAAGAACTCTCAGTAGCTCCATGAGACAGTTATTATTAACCCCTGGCTGGACAGAAGTAAAACTAATGAGGAGGGTGAGACAGAATGGTCACGTGGATGAAGCAGTTGGTGGGGGAGCTGAGCTTCGGGGACCACCTGTCTGGCCATGACTTGCCTGGGGTCTCATGGCAACGACCTATCTCTCGCTGGGTGAGATACACTGGGATTTTAAAGAGTTGACTCACTGAAACAATTGGGGGCTGTAGAGGCTGGTGTGCCCCACATTTGCTGAGTGGGTCATCAAGCTAGAGAACAGGGTGAGTGGACCTTGCAGGTTGACTCCTAAGACCGTCTGCAGGTAGAATCCCCTCTTGCTTGGGGTGTTAATCATGGTTGTCAAACTGTCAACTGATGTTTTGAGACCTGCCCACAACTCCTTTCCCCAAAGTCTGCCAATTTCAATGCTGCAATCATAAGTAAAGCCTTCACAGAACTACCGAGAATAATGTTAGGGCATATACCTGGGCACCAGGGCCAGTGAGGTGGGTAAATTACATCCGCCATCTTACATGTCCTGTAGTGGTGGGAACCAGCCATGCTCCAGCTCACCCTCTCCCATGAACACCGCTCCCACGTGGGTGCTGAGTTCACTGTCCTCTGTGAGTCCATCCCCTCCCCTCCTTCCATGATGACATGTTCATGGAGAATAGACACCTCTAGCACAGGACACCCCAAATCGCATCATCTCCCGAGACAGCCCTGATCCCCTGGACGCCAGGCCAACCTCCTCGGTGAGTGCTGTCCTTCCTGCTGCCATGGATGTGTGTGGAGATGGGACGAGCACGTGGATACCACGCCCTCCGTCTGCTTGTGCTGCTGACACCACCCCCACACTTCCAGACACGTGTGGCTCGCCCCCCCACGGTTTTTCTCTGGAGAACTCCAAGTCGTTCCCCAACACAAGCTGCTGATGCCCGAGGCTGGGCCTGGGCTCATGGGGAGCTCACGTCTCATCACCTCCGTTCTCCTTTCCCCTTCTGGTGAAGGAAGGCCGATGCCGTGAAACAGGGATGTTGTGCCGATGGCTGCCATGTGGAGGCTGCTCCCACCAGGCACTATCCCGACAGCGCCCTCAGTCAGTCACTTGGGTTCCCACCACAGCTCCGAGAGGTGGGCTCTGTTGGCCGAGGGCCTGGAGGAGAAGCCCACATTCCTGACTGCCAGAGTCGTTTCTTCTCCCCCAGCTCGCAATAAGTTGCTTTTAGAGCCAATGACCTCACGTGTGTGCCAACGTGGGGGGCGGGGGGGCGTCCTCGTAGCAAAGAGGAACTTCACACTCTGTGAACTCATACAGCAGTTGTCTCTCTAAAATATCGGAGGGTTCTCAGCACTGTCCTGGGTCCAGGGGCTTTTATTCTGCTTACATGAGTGGTGGGATAATTCCACTTTTTAACAATGCTTTGTTGGTTTTTGTCATAAATAAGATGCATCTTCTTAGTGATTAGGAGAAACCAGAGTCTACAGAACAGCGTAAAATTCCTCTCAGTTCCATCCTCCAGGGAGCTGCCCGAGGACGAGCATTCACTCAAGCCCAGGCCTAGTCCCAGGGGTGGGCGTGACGTAGCACACGAGTAAGGGCTGCAGGTAAAGCAGGAGAGATTTGTTTGAATTTCTGACCACCCTTCCAGTCTTTTCCTTTGTTTCTGCACAAGGACTGTGTTTATTTCAAGCATCAGCAACGTCCAGGGATGGCACGCAGGCGGGGGAGGGGTGTTCCTAGGCTGGCAATGACCCTAAGTGGGGGATCTGCCACTCAGCACGCAAATACTAACCTCGCAGAGACCCTCAGCCCTTTTTCTCTCTTAAAGGAGGACTGCTTGAGTCTTACTTATTGTGAGGGTGATATGTGTGGGACCCACAAACACAGAGAGACCGCGCCCCTTCCTACCCCACCCCCGCTGCCATACTGGTATCAGAATAGCCGAGAACCCAGCTCGGTCCAGAATCACGATTGGCCCAGATGTTACAGGTCGACCAGCAGGAACAGATGATTTAAAAAAAAAAAACGGTCCCTTCCCATTTGCTGCTTATTCTTCATACCACTTCCAGGAATTGATCTGACAAATATTGACTAGGCTGCAGTGAGCTTCAGGCCCCATTTTCCTGTGGGTAGAGGTGATGCCCCGCTGAAGACCAGGACCCCAGCTGGGACCTCGCGGTGAGTGCAGGCCTTGGCCACGGAGGCTCACCCCTCCCGCACCTTGTCTGTCGGCCCCCGCCCCCCTTCTTTCTCTTCTCTTAGCAGAGGAGATGGGAAGGAATTTCCTCCTAAGGAAGGAACGCAATGACATACTGCTTCCAGCTCTGAAGGCAGGAACTTCAGGTCTTAAGTAACCTTTTATGGGAAACTTGGGCTTCAAAACTGTTAGCAGAGGAACTGCCAGTATTCCCGGCGGTCGAGACAAGAAACAAAGCAGCAGGATCTACAACACAGGGCTGCATCTTTGCAGCCAGGGGCGAGGCGCCCCCTCCCCCAGCCCCCCAGAGGAGAGTGTCTTGGAACCTGGTCTGGAATCGAATCTTGCCCATCACTTAACAGCTGTGGGTCCTACCCCTGAGCCTCAGTTTCCCCAGATGCGTGTGGGGCATACCTGTGGCTGAAGTCTCCGTGCCCCGCAAGGACGCAGCTGGACTTGAGACAGGGGAGACTTCAGCCACAGTAACTGTGCTGGCTTTTTGGGACAGGATCCTGGGCCTGGCCCTCACCCCCCAACTCCAGTCGAGCCCCCTCCTCCAGCCTTTGAGATGCTCCTCACCCTTCACGGCCCTACCCTGCATTGGGACACCTCTGGCTGGGAACAAGCAAGAAAATGCCTCTAATATCCCCCCACCCGCACACGAATAAGTACTGAACAAATGGGAACAGTATAGTTAATTAATGGACTTTAAAGCTTTTTTCTGGAAAAGGAATAAAGAAGGGAATTGGGTGTAACCCCGCTATCCTGGGTGGAAGGGGTGAAAATGAGCCTCGCTTATTCTAGGTGCAGCTGCTGGGAGCTGCACTGCTAATCCCTGAGCAACCCCACCCCACACCCAGGGGTGTTTTCACCTGTATTTTGGAAGTGGGGACCTCACAGTTCCGTGGGGCTCCTTTGCAAGGCTTCACATGGTGATTCTTGAAGAGTCTTGACTCAAAACCAGCCCCGACTTGCAATTCAGTCTTCTTTGGGAGTAGATCCTTCTGGAAGTCTGGGGTTCCTCTGGGGGCGAGTCCAACAGGATATAAAGAATAAAGAGCAGGAAATAGCTTGGTCATCACTGTGGCTCTTAATCCCCTCCTCTCCCCCTCACCGGGGACAGACCAATTTTTAAACTGTTCTGCTTCTTCTAAATCTCCCCTCAAAGAAGTTCAGTCAGTTTGGAATGCACTGAATGGCTTGCAGAGGGGGCAGGGTGGATGTGGCCTTGGGAAGCCGCCTTGCAGTACTTTGCTCAGCAAACGAGTTTCCACATCAGGCATCATGGACAATGAGGTTAAATCCTTCCCTCCCCACAGCTGCCCTCTGGCGCTTGGCGGGATATTGAGGGCAGCAGGCACTGTAAACCCTTTACAAAAATATGACCTCTCCCTCCTGACTTCGACACTTGTCATTGATCCACAAGCCACTGGCTTGGACAACAGGCATCAAAGGCACTGATCAACATGTAACATCATCAGGACAAGTGAACAAGAAGGCTCTAAAGCACAAAGGAAAGGTCAGGTTTGAGGGGAGCAGGCATCAAGATGAGGGGTTTGAGTGACAACATGGGTGGGGGTTGCTCTACAAAGCTGTGGGGATACATGTGTGGATCCCTAAAAGAAGGCATTGACCAGGGCAGAGAGCACAGACACCTGCCTGGTCACGGTGCTCACCTGGAGGGAGCTATATTCCTGGGGTGCATCCCGGGGTGGCCTGTACCCTGAGGTGGCTGCAGCCTCCGGTTCTCACGTTTCACACTATCTGTGATCATGTGTGTTTAAATCCTACACAAAAAGGTATCATACTGTATAAATTCTTTTGCATCTTACGTGTTGCCATCATGACAGTATCTTAATTTCTACAGATAACGACTCTGTTACAGGTAACGTTCCTCGCTTCCTGTCCACGCTGAGCCCACGAGGCCAGCCCCGGCTCCACAGGGCCACTTAAACTTCAGGCCCAGAGGTGCCGGGCCAGCTTCCCAGGGGTGTCCCAACAAACGCCTGGTGCTAGATGGCTGAAGTGGCAGAAAGGAATTTTCTCCTGTTTCTGGAGGCCGGAAGTCCAAGGTGCCCACGGGGCTGGCTCCTTCTTCAGGCTGTGGGGCACCCCAACTTCTGGGAGCTCCTGGCCAATGTGGGCATTCCGTGGCTTGTCGAAGCTCCCCCTGACCTCATCTTTACATGACATTATCCTGAAGTGCGAGCTGTGTTCAATGTCCCCTTTACAAGGTCACCATCAGCTGTGGTAGTGCCCGCCTGGAGGCCTGGTTTTCATTCAATACGACTTCAACGACCCCATTTCTAAAAGGTCTCAGTCTGAGGTGCTAGGGGCTAGGCCTTTGACATCTGCAGTTTGGAGGGACACAGTCCACCCTGCGGCAGCTCCCCATTCTGTATCTAGCTCTGCGGGAGGCACCGAGATAACAGAAGCTTGATGGAGGGACA